TCTATCTATCTGTATGTCTGTCTGTCTGTCTGTCTATATCTATCTATCTATCTATCTATCTATCTATATGTCTGTCTGTCTGTCTATCTGTCTATTTATCTGTCTATCTATCTATCTATCTATCTATTACAGTGAGGCACTTAGAATGGAAGTAAATAGGGCCAATTTTTGGAGCATTTAGAAGTGAAAAATGAGATGGTTATAATTTTATAAAAGCACTAGCATTAATTTTCCTGTTAAAACTTGTTTATTATTTATTTAAGTTTTTTATTGTCATTTTAGGGTTTTAAGTATTACACTGTCATGACAACAGATTTGAAACGTAAATAAATTTTCTCATATAAGGTGAGTTAGCTTTTCCCCCCTTTTTTTTTACATAAAAATTTTAATTGATTGTTTACATCATGTTGCTGAACTCATGAAACTACAAGTATTTTGTTTAAAATTCATTTTAATAATCACCAATATGCCACAAGTGCTGTCAGTTAAGCTTAACTTGAATTGAACTGCACTGCTATAATTCTAATAAAAAAAGTAGGTGACACTTTATTTTAAGGTGTCCTTGTTACACACGTTACATCTACTTACTATTATAACAACAATAAGTGATGCATAATTACATGCAAGTAACCCTAAACCAAACCCTAATCCTAACCTTATATATAGTAAGTACATGTAGTTAATTAATATTACTCAGTACTTAATGTATAATTACATTGTATCAAGGACAACAAAATAAAGTGTAACCAAAAAGTAGTTCCTGGCTAAAACAATGTCAATAAACGGCTGCACGCCACTCCTCCAAAACACTTCGGACACCCCTCTCGGCTAATGTTTTTCTGAGCCACGTGTTGTGTCTATAACCTCCCTCCAAAACCCAACCCCCAGCCCTTATGCCCCACAGACAAACACAAACTCCACAAGTTTCCCCCCAAAAAGCAACAGCCAGTACTCTAAACTCATAAACACCCCCCTGCACACACACAGCCAGCCCCCATCTGGCGGCCCCTGGCCCTGCCCCCGTTGGAGCTGGGGGCTGGGGTGGAGCTGAGGTCAGGGATCAGGCAGACGTTGGCCCTTTGCTCAACAGCTGCCCGTGTTCACAAGCCAGGAGGAGGAAGTGGCAGCCGCCACTGCAGCAGCAGCAGCAGCACATCTGCTCTAATGAGTGTGTCAAAGCCACTAATGCACAGACACACACTCACACACTGATCTGGCCCTCCCCTGACCTTCTCTTCACACACTCTGCACACCATCAGGCCAGAATGGAGCCCTTTGTGTGGCAGTGTGTTTGTGTGCGGTGTTTCGTAAAAGGTTCAGAGCTCTGTTGTGTAATGAGTCAGCTGTGACAAGAGGAAGCACTGCAAAGACACTTAAATTCATGAAACACACGCACACACACACACACACACACTGTGAAGGGTCTGAAGTACATTACACTTCTGAAGCAAAGTTCAGATCTTACAGTATATCATCTATCTATCTATCTATCTATCTATCTGTCTATCTGTCTGTCTGTCTGTCTGACGTTCTATAGTTTTTATCTATTCTATCATTCTGTCCATCCATCTATTTTTCTGCCGTACTATCTATCGTTCAGCCGTTCTACAACTATAAACTATTTTTTAACAAATATTTTTAGTTCCTTAAAGAACCTTTTAGTTGAACTATTTTTTTCATTGTGTGATGAACCTATAAACTGTAAGAAACTACTGTTTTTCTGTACACAAAAATATTTTTACTATTCAAAATCTATAAACAATAGTTTGCAAAGAATTTTCCTTCACTGTAAACAATTATTTTTCAAAGTTAAACAAAAACAATGATCACTGGAGTACATTTTACAAGAAAACAAAAATTATAGTATCAAAATATTTTGACATTACAATGCACATATTAATTTAGGTGTACTGTATTTGCAATATTTGTGGAAAAGTATTAACAACAACAACAGTGATCAAATTAAATAATACACGAAATCTTAATAAGTTAAATAAATTATTATATCAAAACCTAACACCAATGATATTGTCAGAATCAGATCTAAATCATAATCAGGTTAAGCTGATATGGTTCATAGAAACCAGTCCAGCAAATTTGTAATGAGAGCAGGAAGACTCCTTCAGTCTCCAGAGTGTACAGTATGAGAGATCTCATCATTCTCACCACAGTCGTCACCTCCTACTACATCGCACATATGTGTACATTTATATCCAGGCACCTTCACCAGCCAAACAAGCCAACACACATACCTCTAACATATAGATCTGGTTGTGAAAGCAAAACATTTCTATTCCAATATCTTCAGTAACACAATGTTTTTATGATCTGTACAGCACTCTTTAGTTTTCATTAATACATGACCAGAACTTTCTACAGCAGTATAAAATAGTACGTAATAAATAATAATAGTAATATGAAGTGATAATATTAAAAACAATTTTTTGACTCTTCTTAAATCATATTAAAACTACCTAATAATTCAAGCAAAGAGTGAAAGAAAGAAAAAAGTTTACCGAGTGATTTTTTTTGCAAATTGCAGCTACCACAACATTCCAAAATGTAGCCTAATATAAAATGTAATTTCCATCAAACAAAAGCTACAGATTGATGTCACATTGGAAGTGACCTGCAAAACACTAAAAGATGAGGGGGGAAACAGACATTTTTACAAAATTAAAATTAAAATAATCACCTGAAAACAGACTTCCCTTTATTTAAAAGTACCCTAAACGTTTGTGTTCATAAAAAAACCGTTTATGTCTGTTTTTAATTAGTTTCCAGCCTTACAGCTAAATTTAACCTCAACTAGGTCATGCATATTCAATTGAATTCAATTCAAGTTTATTTGTATAGCGCTTTTCACGATACAAAACGTGAAAATTGTACTTTACAGCAAATTAGGTTTCTACAATATTTAGTTGTAGCTTATCAGTGCTATATGATATCATATGATAACATTGACCAATTAATATCTAAACTCACCGTAGAAATACGGGGGGAAATCCAAGAACAGAATGTTATCATTATCTAGGAGTAATAGTGTAGCATCACAAGTTACTGTCAAACGTAATTACGGGGCTCTTTTTCTCGTTGTTAAAATCAGCGGATGTCGCCGTACAACGTGTTTCAAGGTAAATGTCTCCACCTGGTGGTGTGTTGTTGAACCTCGTATTTCCAAGACGAGGGCAGTTTCATTGTACCCGTCTCGTTATCGATTACAAAAACTGCCACAAAATACTGCTAAAAATGAACAAACACAAACAACAAAGTGTTTCTCACTATATTACTTTATTGACTGGAGTGTCATGACAGTTGTCTGCCATTCATCCCAGATAAATGGAGTGAGTGAGTTTTGGTGCAAATCCCACTAGATGATCATGCACACCAGCAACATGTACAGTTACAGTAAATTCAAGAGAATATGGCTTTGTGTTCTGTATATACATACATGAAAATCCAATCAGCAGCAATACAACACAGAAACAGTAAAGGTTGTTTGTGCAAACATACTGTTGTTTGAATGTTTCAACTGTCCTGTTCTTGCAAATTTAATTTGTTCAGAGGAAATTTTGTGATAATACAAGATAAATGACATGTAATAGATGCTACTAAACAAATAAACAGGTTACACCATTTATTCAGCAGCAGAAAATGCAAAGCATCACACCATCATCAATCTGAAAAAGAAAGCGTTATCATTCTGGGTCATTTACAAAGGCTCTTTATATCACAGCATTCATTTATCCATTAAGATACTTCTTTGGACGCATGTACACTTGGCAAATGGCAATGACACTAATGCCCTCGAAAAAGCTAAAGGAGGTTTCTCAATAAAAGCTCAATCAGACGAAGGATTAGTTTTCAAGTTTCATTGTTCATCTGTATTAACAAGGCACACTTTATCCTACATTACTTATGTATGGGAAGGTGCAGTACTGAGGGTGAGACAAAACAGAAGAAGCAACTCATATATTTAAATAGGCAAGCTCTGTTTAGATCATTTCTAACATGTAAAGGTTCTGTAAATGTGCTACTGGAGGTCAGAAAAGCAGACGACCTGCAGCAGCTAGCAACCACAGAAGAAGTTCAAACATCAGTGTGTTTTACTGGCTAAACAGAGTCGTACATACTGAGGAGGCGTCTGAATTCACACAAACAAAGGCTCTTTATATCACAGCATTCATTTATCCATTAAGATACTTCTTTGGACGCATGTACACTTGGCAAATGGCAATGACACTAATGCCCTCGAAAAAGCTAAAGGAGGTTTCTCAATAAAAGCTCAATCAGACGAAGGATTAGTTTTCAAGTTTCATTGTTCATCTGTATTAACAAGGCACACTTTATCCTACATTACTTATGTATGGGAAGGTACAGTACTGAGGGTGAGACAAAACAGAAGAAGCAACTCTGGGTTTCTGAAACAACCCAGTCATATATTTAAATAGGCAAGCTCTGTTTAGATCATTTCTAACATGTAAAGGGTTCTGTAAATGTGCTACTGGAGGTCAGAAAAGCAGACGACCTGCAGCAGCTAGCAACCACAGAAGAAGTTCAAACATCAGTGTGTTTTACTGGCTAAACAGAGTCGTACATCCTGAGGTGGCGTCTGAATTCACACAAACGTCTTAAGGATCTATACTTTGACAATCTATTTTATCTCATTACTGATCATTAAAGTGGCTTTTATATGCTTGTGGCATAAAGTTGTACAGTTGAACAATAAACATCTGAGGACTGTGCAAACGTTTACATACATTCAATGGAATCAAAACCCCGACCTGTATAATAGTATATGCTTCTTGAGGCACATTTGAATTATATACTATTTTTTAGAGCAAATTAAATAGATTCAAATTTAAAGATGCTTCCATAAACGGTTTTGCTTCTATTTTTAGAAAAAACAGAAAACACCCACTGTAATCGTATTACATTTTGAGGCTGTATTGTACATAATTCGTATTCAGAATCACTGAATATCGAATCACATGAGTTTTTATGCATCTGGTAAAGAAACATTTAAATTGTCTTTTAAAAACCGTATGTTTAAATGAAGTTGACTTGAGTGAGTCCATTTAAAACAAGGACAAAGTGTGGTAATACACATTGCATAACCGTTGATTCTTGTATGATAAAACAAAGAAAGAACATTAAATATAACATGTATAAGTAATCGTTTTACCCAATCTGTGTGAAAAATTGATATCTAACAACAATATACATCACTACTGATGCCTGTTTGAAGTAGTAGCACATGTACAGCATATGGACTCAAGATGGAGATATTGAGCTTAAGAGAGCTCAAAATACCAGAGGAGAATGATGTAAAGCAGATGAGAAACAGTTAAATGATTACAAAAAATAACTAGTTGTAAAGCCCTTTTTAATTTACCACAGGAATGCCATTATATATGGCAAATACTCCATTTCAGAGGGCTGTAGGATGATCTGAGTGACACAAAATGATGTTCTTGCCATGGAGAAACTAAAGTGAGGTGGGAAAAGAAACATATGAGGCAACTTTCCGTCCCCGAATCCAGAGCGTAATCCAGCCAGTGCTACATGCAGGCCGAGCAGCATCTTAAAAGAGCTGGATCATTGATTCCCGCGACTTCCCAACACCAATCCACTTTACTAAAGCAAAGATGGAGCAAGTCATTAGGATCGCTGTAGTAAAACAACCCAACTGCATTTTAAACGATCAGACTTACAAGAACAACGTATAGTTATAGTGATAGTCTACCCTCACCTTCATGTCGTTCCAAAGCTGTATGACTTTATTTTTTGGTAACCATTTACTTCCATATTATTTTTTGTTCCACATTTTTGTCTGTTTGGATGTCAATGGGAATCACAACTGTTTGGTTACTGACATTGTTCAAAATATCTTTTACGTTTCACAGCAGAAGGAAAGTCATACAAGTTTGGAATGACATGACGATGAGTAAATGACAAAATGTTCATTTTTGGAAGAACTATCCCTTTAAAGTCTTACCAGGCACACCCGAGTGATCTTCAATGTAGCAGGCGTATTTCTGTGCATTTTCTGGAAGCTCTTCAAAGGTCCTGGCAGCAGACGTGTCTGTTTTCCAGCCTGGCAGAGTCTCGTACTGCACTTCAACCTTCTGTAGCACCTCTTGGTTTGCTGGGAAACATGTATGATATTGAACTACACTAGATTTGATTAAATCTACTTGTGTGATATGGGAAAAGTGCTGCTTACCTGGAAAATGTGGGATGATTTCACCATCTACTTTGTATGCCACACCAACTTTGATCTCAGGAAGCACATCTAAGATGTCAAGTTTGGTGAGAGCTAAGCTAAACAGACATATAGAAGGATGCATATAAGAAAACAGTATTTTATAGAGCACAAATACAGAAACCAAAGGAGACATATCTGAACACTCACGCTGTGAAGCCATTAATCATGTGGGCGTATTTGATAAGCACCAGATCCAGCCAACCACATCTCCTTTTGCGACCTGTGGTCACGCCCACTTCCTTGCCTCTGGTCTGCAAGAGCTCTCCAATTTCCTATGCAGAAGTACAGTATGCAAAGCGCAACATTTAATTCCTTTGTGTATTACAGTATGTGTACAGGTATCTTAATATTTGCAATGAATAGGTTAAACAGTCAAGCTTTTTAATGACAATTTTAATAATTTGCTATTTTAGGGATGACTATGTAGCATTCTATCCAGGCACTATAGAAGAAAAAGCCTTTGACTCACCCTGGTGTATTTACAGTAAAGTTTATTAATGTTCACTAACCCTATTTAATAAACTAAAAAAACAAAAACAACAATATGAGCTATATGATACTACTGTATTGGCAGCGTTATTTGACAATTTGAATTATGAAGTCTACATTACTATTGTCTTGTCTAAAAAACCTTCTTCCCACTAGATGGAGCCATTTTAAAACCGAAAACTCAAAGTGTTTGAAGTGTAAAAGCAATTTCTAGTAGAATTTTTATTGATATATACTGTATATACATATATATATATACATATAT